ATATATATATATAATGAAAATGGGAACATTGCTCAACAATCCTATACACAAGTGATTAATCTGCTTGTCTCCATCATCTCTGCAGAGGTGATTCATCATTGAAAGTTTCTGCTCAGCAACTAAACTGTCACAATGTGTAACTCCTTTGGATCAGTCTTGGCGTTTGCTGCATTGCAAATGAAAACTCAGCACTGCTCTTCCTTTGCGGAGAATGTAGCTAAACATGATATTGCAAACAGTCATATATTTGCTTTTGAAGGGGAGCTTCTTGTATTTTCACACGATTATACTGTTAGGCCCCTTTCACATGGTTCAATCAGGAGGGGATCCATGCACGGATTTCCTGCTGATTGGAATGGATTTCACTGATGTGACATCTGTGTCGTCCAGTTTTCTCCTCTATCTTGTAAAGGAAATTACTGGACCCATTCTGGTCTATTAGGAATCGGATATAAATTAACATGTGTCTGTTTACATAAAATTACCCCCGATCTGGCTCAAGCAGGTCTTGCAAAATGGAACTCTGATCCGTTTGTCCTTCCGGACCTGGCCGGAGGCTGGTGTAACCAAATGCAAATGGACGCCCTTCCATTTAGATCTGGCTGCCCTTAGTCTAACATTGGGCTTTCGATCAGGTCCACCTTAAAAACTGACATGCGGACCTGATTGGAAAGCCCATCTGAAAGGGCTTTAAAGGTTTTCAGAATACTATGTTGCTACAGTGTGTACAGTGTATGAGTCCTAAAAAAAATGATTTACTTTTGTTTCTAATCAGGGGTAACAATACATGGAGGAGACCGAATTACTTTGATTTTGAACTGCAGAGGCATTTCCTATTTTGATTTTACAGGAGTCTCGTCTCTCTCTCAGGTACTTTTTAGCATTGTCTAACTGGTATCATATGATTTGGAGCAACTTAAATTGAACCTTTGCTTTGCCCCTGTAGGTTTACTTTAATGGCAGTCCCACCAGTGACACATACTCACTTTCCCTTCACTTCCCCAATGCTTTTTTTTTTCAGCCAGAGGGAGCAAAGTTTCATACCCGACACTTTGGGTGTATGGTAACGTGTGATCCACTCCCCTTTCTCCCACATGACAGCACTGGTGCTTAGTGATTGGCTGCTCAGACACCCAACACTGTCACATGGTAATGGGGAAAGTTTATTCAGCTTTGTGTATACTCCATGTTGCAACTGACACTGGGTTTACTCTCTTCGTACTCAGAACAAGAGGAGAGATAAGGGATGGTAAGTATATGTAACTGGTACTAACAGCATTAAAGTGAACCTGTTTCTTTGAAAGGAGGACATATACAAAGGTATTAGATGGAAAAAAAAATGTTGCTTTGCACTGCATGCAATATATTTTGTCATATACAGTAGTGGCCAAGTTATGTTCGTGCATATAATTGCATAATAATTGTGTGTAGTCTTCTGTCCATCTAGTACATGGAACTCATATCTCTTCTTCACATCAGTGGCATAACTACTTCTCGGTAAAAAAAATAATATAT